TCAGTGACCATTATTTTATGGTCACTATGTTTTCTTAACTAATGTATATTCATAAGTAGTTAATGACCATATTTATTTGACCACCAAATTTCTTAATGACCACTTAGTGATGACAATGATAGTATTATCATTAAATTTAAAGTTAATAATTAATCAAATCGCAAAACCGCATGTAAACCGCATAAACCGTCCGCACCAAACCGCACCGCATAATGCGGTTTTAAACATTCGCGGTGCGGTTTGCGGTTTCTAAATAACTCAAACCGCATATGCGGTGCGGTTTGCGGTTTTGGCTCTAAACCGCACCGCGCACACCCCTAGTTTATACAACAACTTTTCGATGTCACAACATTTATTTTACAAAATATACAATTTTACATTTACCCCCTCCAAAAAAAAAAAAAAAAACTAAAACCATTTCCGAGCAACGAATCAAACAAGCGGTACAATCGACTCTGTTCCCTCGACCCCCATTGGCGCCGTCGCATTTGTCCTCCGTCACCGCCTCCTGCCCCCGGCGAATTTGTTCACCGTCGCGATTCTTCCCCTGAATGCTAACTTAATACCATATGCATTACGCATTTCATCCATCGCTTCCCCTCCCTCTGATTTCACGATCAGCATTGACCACCACCACCATCGTTAACCTCCGGAACTGGCAAACCTAATTTTGGGTTTCGTTGTTGCTGCTTCTTCTCGTTCTAGCTGTTGCTTCTGGTTCTTCTTCTTCAAATCTAAACACCCGCAAGTAAGTATATCAATCACCCGATACTTAGTTTGCTTCCTCTCATTCTTGCTATTGTTTCTTCCTCTTCTTCTTTCTTCTTAATTCTACGAAAATTCTAGCATAAGTTTGTTGTTGTTGTTGTTGTAATAACTTGGATTAGTCATTGCACGCATTGAATTCTCTGAGGTCTAAAGTCACCTAATCAACCCGATTTTATTTTCATGGCAAAGCTCGATTTTAATTTTATAGCCTTTCATAAACAATTTGCGCATTACATTCAGAGCCCTGTATAATTTGTCAAGCTGAAGCCACTTATAGACTCTTTAGCAGGTCTACCCACTTGTCTTTTGTTTTCCATATTGATATTACACCTTTGAAGCATGAAATCCACTTATAGCCAGTCACCTAACTCAACGCGAAACAAAAACCCATCAAGTTTCAATGTTTTTTATCATTCACATACTTGTAGAATTGTAGCGCTTTATCCCAATTAACACAAAACCTATGAGCTATGGTGTTTAAAATTGGCCAAAGATGCATATGCGAGTTTTCTGTTTATTTTGAGAGTCAAAAGTTCAAATGTTTGCATCATTTTGGGAATTCACTATCACTCAAATTTACCATTATTGATGTAAAACTTAGCAAGCTTTACTTAACTGTTTTAATCGATTTTGACATTGATTCTCTTTCTTTTGTTCAGGGGTTTATATCAAGATTCAAGGACCAAGTTTCTTGTTTTAGCTGCAATCAGTAATGGCTTCAAGGTTTCAGGCAGTGGCACTTGTAGCTTCACCTACATATCCAAATGCAATTTCATGGTCAAATGAAAACTTAGTTGCAGTTGCCTCTGGACACTTAGTCACTATCTTGGTAAATTTCTTCATTAATATGACACTTTCATCATAATTTAACACCTTATAATCTTACTTTATAAATCTTCTATCATTTTTAGAATCCTGCTATGCCATCTGGACCTAAAGGTTTAATCACAATCCCCACCAGCAAACCTTTTTCATTTGGTGTTATAGAAAGAAAAGGTGCTTGTGATTTGTGAATTTGTAAATTTGTTCATTATGTTTATTTATTATTATTTTAATTATAATTATTACACTTATGATCTTATCATAATCTTTTTAACTTTCACAGATTTGCTCTCTGGTTGTATGTTGCCTATTTGTTTGTCTCGTGACATTCGCCCTTGTGTAAGATCAATATCTTGGTCTCCACTTGGATTAGCTCCAAATTCTGGGTATGAATTTTGATCCATAATCACTACATAAAAGGTGACTTAATTAATTAATTTATTTTAATAAAACTTTTACAAATTTTTACTTGTGGATAGGTGTTTGCTTGCTGTTTGCACAACTGAAGGGGTAGTCAAAGTTTACCACTCCCCATTTCGTGAATTTTCTTCAGAGTGGGTAGAGGTATGCACTTATTACCTATAATAACTTATTATAATTTATAAATTTATATTACTTTTAATAGTTTCATGTTTTTGTTTGTAGGTTCTTGATGTATCTGAAATGTTACATACTTATTTTGAAAAAATCAGATATGGTGAGTCTGATTCTGATATTCCATTTTTAGAATACAATGATGATATGCCACTATCCAAACTATTAATCAGAAGCAAAGACAGAAGACAAAATTTACTAGAATACCATAAATGCCCTTCCATAAGTGCACAACAGTATGCTTCTCGTAGTGCAATGCTTTCATCTCTTGTGGTTTCTTGGTCTCCTATGTTTCATGGTGACACCTCATCAAAGGGATGCTCTATACTTGCCATCGGGGGTAAAAGTGGAAATATCTCATTTTGGAGAGTCAATGAACCACAATGCTATTCCATCACACAACGAAGCAAGCTACCTGGCGCTTTGCTGATTGGATTAATCCAAGCACATGATTCTTGGATTACTGCAATCAGTTGGTCAAAGTTTGACTCTCAGCTTCTTTTATCTACAGGATGTTCTGATGGGAGGTGAGTTGGCATTTTATTTTATATTAAAAAAAATTCAAGATTTATTTTTTTTTTTTTGAAATTTCAGTGTGAAAATTTGGCGGGGATATACTGATGACCTTGCGAAGACAACTGAAGATGGTGATGCTGCATTTTCATTGTTGAAAGATGTTGGTATTTTTTGAGCTATAATAATAAACTTTTATGAGCACCATTTAATATTTAATTTTTGAAATTAAGTAGGTTATAAAGGTTGGATCGGGCCCCACATCTGTACTTTCACTAATTGTTCCGGAAGCTTCTCCACAAAAGATACTCCTAGCTGTTGGGAAGGGTTCTGGATCTTTACAAATATGGATTTATGACACTTTGATTGACAAATTTGATGTAATTGCTCCACATTCTGGCCATGACCAAATTGTAAGCATTCTTTTTAACTACTTTTTTTTTAATATAATTATTGCATTATGATTTTATTTTTTATTTTTTATTTTCTTTTCAGGTTACGGGTTTGGCTTGGGCTTATGATGGACACTGCTTGTACAGTTGTAGCCAGGTAGGTTACTTAATTGGATTATGAATAAACTATAAAATATGATATGTAAATTTGTAATTGTTAAATTGTTTTTTATTTTTCTTATTTTTCACAGGATAATTCTTTGCAAAGCTGGATCATAAAAGGAGATTCTCTCCATGGAGTCTCTTTACCTCCAAATACTCTTGGTGTTAAGACCTTCACAGATGTATGATTATTTTTAGTACTTTTTTTTGTCCAAAAAAAAAAAAAAAACGAAATGGTTTGAGTTGACTATTAGTCAAATATATTGACTAGACCTTAAATCTTTTGACAGGTTCCTAATGTGTCTGATGCATGTTTTGGCATAGCAGTATCCCCTGCTAATCTTGTGGTTGCTGTGGTATGCTATTATGATTCATTCTCCTTAAAATGTGAATCTCAAAAAGAATATAAATTTGTAAAAATCAATACGAAAATTTTCTCAAAAAATTTCAGGTTCGAAGATTTGATGTGAATCTGTTGAATCCAATGTATGAGGCAAGGTAAGTATATAATATATTCTTCATTCATGTTTGCATTTGTGATAAGAAGTATTTTATATAAAAACAACAAAGTAGATCCTTTTTTATGATAATCTTGAAAAGAAATATTTTATATCCTATTCAGGTCACAGAAGGCTGCTGTTGAGTTCTTCTGGATTGGTGGACAAAACCTTGGAAATTTAAAAGATGAAGAATCTGATGATGGAAATTTCCCTGGTTTTCCCAATATGGATTTGGTCAACTGGGGTCAAAACATATTATGGTCTTTAAATCAATACGAAAATCTTCACAAGCCTTTGGTTTTATGGGACATGATAGCAGCATTATCAGCTTTCAAAGATTCACAACCCAACTATGTAGAACAAATACTGGTCAAATGGCTGATCTCAAATCTTAAATTTGAGTGGGGCCCACCTGAAATCATTTTGCCACGTGTCAATACACATCTCTCAAACTTAACCTCACGCCAGTTGCATCTCCTCAATGTTATTAACAGACATGTGCTTTTAAGAGAAGCAGAGTTAGATAACAACAATGGTGAACAAGAATCGAAATTTTGGATAAAGATTCTTGAAATGAGTGAAAAAGAACTTCGAGAAAGACTCATTGGTTGTAGCTTTTCAGCCACACTTAAAGGGTATAATGGTAATTTACATCCGGTTGGATTGGCACAGATGAGATCATGGGTTGCTAATAATGAACGTGTAGTTAAAGATTATGTCAAGCTCCTTGCTTCTAAAGTTAAAAAGATTGAGAAAAGGTATTATACTAAATGTCATATATTTATATAGCGAAATAAATTTAAATTCTATTTTACAATTTCTTTTATGGGATTTTGTAGACATGTAGGAGAAGAGGAATGTAGCTACTGTTCATCATTAGTTCCATTTGAGGATACAGAAGTTGGATTTTGCAAAGTTGAGAATCATAAACTTGCAAGATGTGCAGTTTCCATGGTTGTGTGCCCTCTTACTCCATTATGGTTTTGTGTATCTTGTAAAAGATGGGTATTAAATTTTGCCCCTGAGAGTCTTTTTAAGTTGACCAGATACCCTCCAACCGTTGACTTTGAGAAAAGGTCTTTGACTTTTCAAAATGGAGAAATATTGTTGAAACCACTTTGTCCATTTTGTGGGGTATTACTGCAAAGGTTGCAGCCACAGTTTCTTCTATCAACAACATCTGTATAGATCACTAAAGAATAACGATTTTAGGACATTATACTTTAGAAAATCTATCCAATTAGAACAATGAGTATTTTGTTTTGTATGTAGATGTAGATAATACTTCTATAATTGGTAGATTTTTAAATAAACAAATCAATTAAGGTAGGATTTTATATTAAAAAGAGTTAATCGCGAGAAATAGCAACCTATTTTTTTGTATGGTTTCAAAATCTAACAAATGAATTGAAATGTAATTTATGTAAAATGATTAATGTAGCTTTTATTGATTATATTTGTAATTTGTTGTTTGTTATATAAAAATGGTAAAATTGCCATCTACTACTTTAAAAAAAATTATGAAGCCATAGTTTTTAAACTCTTTTGATAAAAATCCATTGTGTTTGACATTTTCTTTTTCAAATTTATATCTTACTATTTCTTTTATGAAGACAACCATCATTATTAGTTAATGACCAAACTAATTAATTATAATTTTATTAGAATAAATACCAAATAATTTGCAATGTTCAAGTGGAAACCATTAGTTAGAGATTTTGACTTTAATATAAAACAAGATTGATGATGGGTTAGTACTCAAATATGTCTTCATTTTTCAAACATATTTTCATACAAACAAATGTTAATCTCGTTAAAAATATAACGATGGTTTCTATTTTTTATCAATTCACTTTCTTTAATAAAATAATATTTTCAGTATCAATGTATTTTGTTTTAATATGAAGAGTTACTATCGTCACCATTTACATGTCTAACAATGTTCGAATCCGTAGTCTATTATAACATTTAATATATATATAT